CTTCCCTCCACTCATCCCCAACAGCATATTGGACACCTCTGACCAGGGGGGCTCAACTTCTGGGTGTCATATCTTTTCGGCTTTTCATCCTTCATGGGGTCCTTGCAGCAGGAATACTGGAGTGGACTGCCACTCCCTCCTCCAGGGGACCATGTTTTGTCAGAACTCTTCACTGTGACCCATCCGTCTTGGGCGCCCTGTGTGGCATGGCTCATCATTTCATTGAATCACATAAGCCCTTTCACCATGACAAAGATGTGATCCATAAAAGGGAAAATGCTGCTGGATGTAGTTAAAAGAAATGTTTGGGGTTAGCTTACTGTCTTTCAAAACCAGTCTCTGAATAGGGAGTTTTTGTTTTGTCTTATGAGTGAAGCGAATCGTGATTTAAGATAACATCCTTTCTTCTCTGTCTTTTCAGGTGGGAGCTTGTTGGATCTGTGTCTCACTGCAGAGCTGGAGCAGGTGTAGCTGTATGTGCCTGTTTAACTAGCCAAATCCGAGATGTAGGTCACGGATCCAGCAATGTGGTTGACTGTATGTGACTTGAGTTCGAGTCACCAACAGTTTAGTCTTATCTGACAGGCAAGAAAGACAAGGAGGATTTTGTAATGGCCACCTTTGAGCAGTTTTAACTATTACTAGAGTGTCATGTAAATGTAAACTGTTGTATGTGACTGAGTGCAACTTTTGGAATGGTAGCTGAAGAATTACTAGTAATAAAGTTAATATTTCCCACTTTAACAAATAATGAAGTAGGGAAAGAAGACAGTCTAAGCTGAAACCTCCTCCAAAAAAAAAAAAAAAGAAACGTTTAACAGAGTGGAGTGCCAGAACCTTGAAATTAACTTTTTTTTTTTTTTAAGTGTGGATGAATGAAAATGCAAAATGAAGTCACTTGCTGAGCTTTACCTTTTGCCTAAAGGCGTTAACCTTAGGCATTGGATTTTCCCTCTGGGGAGATAAGAACCTGTTCATCAACTCAGAGATACCAGGACTCCTAACAGACCTGCTCCATTTGAAGATCATTTCTCCTTGGTGCTGATGAATTTATGCCTTGCTTTCTTCTAGGTGTTGATTTGTCAATTCCTTGGATATTTACAGAAGTAGGAAAAATATTTCATCTTTCTGAGTGTCCCTGGGCTGTGTTTTCAGAAGCCTATAGGATTATAGGCTTCATTTCAGTTTGAATTGTTAGGACACCAAAAGATCTAAATGAACAATTCCATCTGAATGAATCTACACTTATTTTTTCATGTGAAAGGGGTTTTGTTTCATAGTAATAAAAAATGGAATCACATGAGATTATTAGAGGAGAAAGCTTTAGAGTCAGCATTATTCTAGTGCCCATTTGAGAGACCTTGATTGAATGGGAGTGGTGTCCATTATGTGACTCCCTAATGATGCAACTCCGAGAATATGTTTGACACTCTTTAATTATTTCATTCTGAATCTGAGATTTATTATCTTTCTATTTTGCTGTTTGCCACCATCATAGTTTTTCTAACTGTACAGAATCTGGATTTATTTATTATGAGAAATTGAATTCATTTCTACAAAAGCCCTCTACAGACTTTAGTTGAACTGTTGATTAGGTCATATCCATCTTTACCAATAAAAGATATTGTAAAAGCAAAGGAAGATAAAACTTTTTCTCCTGTTACATTTCTCTCCAGTGTACTTACTGAATTTTAATTGAAAATATTTCTTTACATTGCTTTGAAGGCAGGCTGTTTATACACCTGTTGATCTAACAGCTCTTCATGGTTTTACCAGCATTATAAAGTGACTTACTCATTATATGTATATATTTTTATAAATATTTATGAAGGATATTAAATTATTCTATTTTGTATTTGCAGTGCAGTTTGGTACTTCTCTTCCAGACGTTCTTGAATTCTCCTTTAGTTATGCCTTAGAATTTAGTATAGTTTATTGATGTCAGTCATCTTTTTCATGAAGAAGCTGGGGCAATGCAGAACACTGCTTCATCCACCCAGTCCTGAAGTTAACTGCCTAGTAGCTGTGATGGGCCTTGTTAAATGACAGCCTAGACTTGTCAGTACAGCAAGGCAAAAAGCCATGTTACAAAAGCTAGTGCTTTGTGTATATTCAATCAAAAAAATAAGGTAAAGAAAATATAAAAGAGAACTCAGCTAGCAGAAAAAGGTCTTTCATGAAACCAACCTAAATGTTCCTAAATTATGGCAATTTTTGCTGTCAGCCTGTGGGCAAGTCCATAAGTCATTGCTGAATCTGAACTGATGTTCTCTTGTACAACTGTAACTGTATTTCAGTCAACCCCCAAAGCAGATAACTCTGTAGCACTCACTGGACTGGCTGCATGTAGAGAGTAAGGCTCAAAACCTGGCTTCAGCTCTTTCCCAGGTCTAATGGACTTCCTGTATTATAATACTTGTCTAGGGATGGTTGCCTAATGTCATATTTATTTTGGGAGGTGGATCTTTTATTCTTTCTAAGGTTATTTAAAAAATGTTTTTTCTTTTATTTCTGCCTTTGTCATGAGTATAGCATTTGAGAGCATGAAGGTGTTATATTTCCATTACTAGTTTTATAAATATTGGAGTCATCTAACATTACTAAGTTGGTACTCTAGCTACCCATAAAATATGAACTACTCCTAAGGGAAGTAATGTGAAGTAAACCACACATGGCTAACTGTTACATTATGTACAGGCCATCAGAAGTACAGCCCTGAAGGACCTGATAATGGTATGAAAAGATTAAAGTGGATTCAGTATGCAGTCTCTTTATTAAAAACATTTTTTGAGATATGAAGTGTGAATCAGGTCGAAGGAATTCTGTGTTTGAAAGGTGATTATACTGATGGGAATAGAAGGATGAAATACTCAAAGATGGCTACTAAGTTGTGAGGCCTGTCACTTTAACTTCAGATGTTAATACCATCTACCAAAAAGACGTAAAAGAGAGCTAAAATTCTAAATTATAAATGGAAAACAAGAAAAAGTAAAAATTGGCACATTTAAGAAATATTTCTAGGTGCTTTTGAGTGATTCTCTCATACTGTCATTAAAGCTGCTGCATTTACCTGTGTTGTACTACCACTTTAAAAATAAATTACTTGGTAATGTTTTTGCTTAATTTCACTATATTCTGTGTAACTATCTTTTAAACATTTGAATAACCTTTGTACTCTAAAAAGTATTATTCTGTTAATTCCTAAATGCATTTTAAACTCTACATTGCTGTTAAATGCCTAGATAAGACGGTAAAAATTGCATAAACTACTCTTGAAGATGGTAAACTTAAAAGAGTTTTGTTCCTTTTTTCCTCCATGTCTTATAGAAAATACATTTAGAATCTAATTCATGTCTTATCAGTTAAGAATGTTTTCTGTGGTTTCTTAGACTCCTAAAGAAATTATATTGGGATGTCATTGTCTCTTTTTCTGCTTTATGTAGAGTGACAAGTAGCAAAAGAACTTCTCTATACTATTTTCTTAAAACCATATGTAAATTTGTGTAGTAATGTTCCAGCAAATCAAAATAGTAAAACTCATATATACTACCAAGTACAGAGATCAGAAAGTTGGATTCACATCAGTGCTATTTATTGATTCAAAATATATTGTGTGTGTCTATTATGAATAGAAATATGAGTATTATGTGTCTGTTATCCTTTCTGTATAGTGTATGTAACTTTGCTTTTGTTTTTGCTTTGATAGAATCTTTTCAAAACGATGTAATTGTTTATTCTCCATTCTTCAAATACAAAATTGATTTAGTAGGTTGGCTGAAATATTTTTTTCTCCAAAGAAAGGATCTTTATGTTTAATATGAAGATTTTTGTTAACCCTAAGGAGGTTAAAGGCAACAGACTGAGCAATTGTCTCTTCAGCAGTTGTAGACTTATACTATTTAGAAATAAGATTCTTTATGCATTAAGATGTTGTCCTTCCAATTAGTAACCTCGTGAATCTTTAATTTTGTTTTCTGCCTGTCTTGCCATTGCTAAAAACTTTTCTGAAACTCTTCCTTGGAAACAACCTGAAGATCCATTTGTAAGTCATCCAAGAGAATTAGTCTCATCATAGTCATACAAGAACAAACATGTGGTTGCCAGAGGAGGTGGATGGGGAAAGGAGAAAGAAATAGGTGCGGGAGATGAAGAAGTACAAGATAACCTGGTTGCAAAATAAATGTGTCATGGGTAAGAAAACAGTATGATAGTTTCTTTGAAGGGAACTCTGGGAATTCCATTGTAGTGCAAAAATTCTGGTGGTTTTTGTTAACAAGTCATTTTTCCATTATTTTATTGGTTGAGGCTAAATTCAGCCTACTTGAACTATAAGGGGTTTCTTAAATTTGGGTAGTAATCATGGGGTGTACTGATAACTTCAATTTGTTTATTAATAACTACCGTTTAATGTAATGCCTGCATCACTCACTTTATAATGACATTTTAATCTTTACAGTAGTTCTGCAATTGAGAGCTACTCAGATACGGGAAGCAACTTGTCCAAAATTTACAACTAGTCACTGGTTAACCAATATTCCTCTGACTGAAAAATTCTACTGTTCTACCTAACCAGCTGTGTCTCTGCTTTCTCAAAAAGTATGTATATTTAAGGAAGGATTTTCTTTTTCATAGCTGCTGGTTGGCAGTATAAAAGTGTTTCTGGTCACTACTTCTCATTTTTTGGTCACTTAGTTCCATTTATTATATTGAGATATTGTTATAAGTTTTATGTGTACAACATAATGATTCAGTATACATATACATTGTGAAATGGTCACCACAAGGATTCCATCATCATAGTTTTTTCCCTTGAAATGAGAAGTTTTAAGATCTATTCTCAGCTCCTTTCAGATATGCCATACAACACTATTAACTATAGTCACAATGCCATACGTTACATGCCCAGGACTTATTTTTTTATATTTGGAAATTTGTATTAATACCTTTTGACCCCCTTTACCTATTTCTCCCATCCCCTACACTGTCTCTGGTAACCACTGATGACTGTACTTCTGTATTTAATATTTGATAACATAAGTGGAAATATTTGTGTGACATGTAAGTTTTTAAGCATAGTAATGAAACACCTGTGCATTCAGTCCCTAATTATTAACATTCCTGGTAGTCCTGACTGTGCCTTTTGTTCCTTCTCAATTCCAATTCCCAGCCAGCCGTTCTCGCTAGAGGTAAGTACTGTCCTGAGTCATTCGTTTCTTTGCTCTTTTTTGTTTTCATACAAATATGAAAGCTACATTGTGTACTTTGTAATTGAAGAGTTGACGAGGCCCAGAAAACTCCAGCCCTTTCAGACCTGCCTCAGATCCTTTGTCCTGTTGCTATCGGAGAAGGCAAAGCACCTTCCACCTCCCAGTGCTGCTCTGGGGCTGGACCTCCGGATCTCTCGGTGAGTGCCTTTGGCTCTCTCGTGGTTCACGTACTGGCTGCTCATACACATGCACACCCTCTCAGTTGTTATTAACACTGCAGAGGTCTTATACCTGCTTAAATTGTGGGGTTCCTGAGAAACCTATTTTGATTAGGATATTATGCACAGGTTAAAAAAATTTTTTTTATCCTACTTGCCCTGGCTAGTTTATGCTTTGGAAGGATGAGGATTAAGTGGTCAGAAATTTTAGCAGTGACGGTGGTTTACTTGCTAAGTTGTGTCCGACTCTTGCAACCCCCATGGACAGTAGCCCACCGGGCTCCTCTGTCCATGGGATTTCCCAGGCAGGAATACTGCAGGGGGTTGCCATTCCCTTGTCCAGAGGATCTTTCTGACCTAGGGATTGAACCGAGAGCTTGAACTCGAGTCCCCTGCATTACAGGTGGATTCTTTTACTCCTGAGCCACCAGGGAAGCCCATATACTACTAGATCCCTCTGTGAAACTTATCTGTTGAGTATCTTAGTAGACCTTAAGAAGCTTTTTGGTCCCGTGTATTTGTCATGTCTAAAGTGTTTTCTCAAATTTAAATGGAGAGTTTTTAATTCATAAACTGTTTCCTTGGTATAGCTGTGTCTATTACTTTGTGCTTCTCTGCCTTGAGTGTCTCAAGTATGTGGTTTTATTATATACACCAGTACCTTTTAACAGCAGTGTGCTAAATCCCTTCAAAATATTGATGTAGATTCAGAAAATATTTGTGTTCTGCCTGAGACTTTGCAACTTCCCTTTGTTTTAAAAAAAAGTTTCTGCTTTGGCTTTTGGCCAAAAGTAATAAAGTTCCTACCTGACCATAAATTCCCTGATTTCCCCCTATGCGTCTGCAAACAATTATCTTTTTTCCTGTCTGGAGACCAGAGCTCAGGACTGAAGGACACAGTGGCTATTTGCCTTACATTCTAACACAGTCCTCTAGGTTCTTCCTCTTCCTCGCTTCATTTCTCAGTACGTATTTTAATGCAGTACTAAATCAGTGTGCTCGCATAGGAGCCAGATTTATTGAATTGTAATTCATATGATAAAAAACTGACCCACTAGGTTTACAATCTATGATTTAGTAAATATAGAGTTGTGTCAAATCAGGGCTTCCCAGGTGGCACGAGTGGTAAAGAACCCGCCTGCTAATGCAGGAGACATGAGATGTGGATTCGATCCCTGGGCCGGGAAGATCCTCTAGAGAAGGGCATGGCAACTCACTCCAGTATTCTTGCCTGGAGAATCTCATGGACAGAGGAGCCTGGTAGGCTACTGTCCATGGGGGTCGCAAGAGTTGGACTAAACTAAATTGACTAACACACATGTGCCAACATCACCATAACCCAGATTTAGTTCATTTCCATCATGCTCCCCAAATTTTCATGAGCCCCTCTTGGGGTCAGTCTTCACTCCCTCCCTCTTTTCCTCTCTGCTTCTCACTCAAGGCAACCACTAATGTGGTTTCTGTCCATAAACTTGCCTTTTCTGAGTATGTCATGTAAGTGAAATCAAATGCTCTATATAGCATTTTGTACCTGGCTGTTTAACTTAGCATAATGTTTTGAGGTCCATTTCACCTGTACTGTAGTCGTTTTAATACTGAACAGTAGTAGTCTGTCTTACATTCTTCGGCCATTTACCAGCTGATCATTTCAGTTTCCAGTTTGGGGGTATCACGCAAAATGCTGCCACGAATGTTCATAAACATGTCCATGTGAACATGTTTTCATGTATCATGGGTGAATTCACACAAGTGGAATTGCTGGTTTTTACAGTTATCCACAGGGGCTGTACTATATTATATTCCCATCAGTACAGTAGGAGGTTTCTGCTTTCTCATCATGCTCTCTAACACTTTGTCTCTTTGATTACAGCCATTCTTCTGGGTGTGAAGTGGTATCTCATTGTAATTAAACCAGTGTATTTAACAGCAATTTTTCCCTAAAGGAAATAGTTGTTGGTCAGTCACATATTTGTGTCTGACTCTTTGAGACCTCATGGACTGCAGCACGCCAGGCTTCCCTGTCTTTCACTTTGCTCAAACTCCTGTCCACTGAGTTGGTCATGCCACCCAGCCATCTCATCTCTGTTGCTCCCTTCTCCTGCCTTCAATCTTTCCCAGCATCAGGGTCTTTTCCAGTGAGTCGACTCTTCGCATCAGGTGGCCGAAGTACTGGAGTTTCGGTTCTTCCGGTGAATATTCAGGGTTAATTTCCTTTAGGATTGACTGATTTGATCTCACAGTTTAAGGGACTTTCAGGAGTCTTCTCCAATACCCCAATCGAAAGCAATGCGCACGGCCTTCTTTGTGGTCCAAGGAAGTGGCTGCTCTCTAGTGGTGCATTCCTCACATTACACTTGGGAAAAGGGCATTAATAGGAAGCTTGAAGCTAAAATGTGTTAACATTTACATGCGTTTCAGGCTGTGCCTGCATCATTTAGCTCACTGAGTGCAATTTGAGGCCCAGGTCCAAAATGTTTTCCTAATTGCCTTTTTTAATCATCTTCAGAACCTGGCTGTGGCTTTTACTTAATCCCTGGAGGTGCATTATAATCAAGCCAAGGTTTTGTGCTTCGCATCTCATCTACTTTACATACTCAGCATCTCGTGGCATAAAGGTTTACACCTGTGGAGTGGCTAATGCCTATGAAGATGGGGAGGAAAAGGCCAGAGACAGTTCTGTTGACTCAAACTTACTACATCCTTTCAAACGACAGCCAGAGGAATAATTCTTGCCAGTGGAATGAATGTAAATTCCTTTTAATGAATTGCACACAAATGGAATGTCTGGAGGTTCCTGGTATTTTCAGGTAACACTTTGTAAATATGCCTGTAGAGAGCAGTAAAACTTGAAGAGAATGGGTCTCAGCTGCCCCAGGCTCTGGGGCTCTCAAGCAATGAGAGCACTCGGCACATTAAAGATGGTGAAGAAATTGAGCTCAGGAAGGAACCTGGCCAGCCACTGGATTAAGGAATGTGTATTTGTGAAGTAAAGATGTGGCTTCAGGAAATTAGGGTAGAAGGAACTCTTTGGCCAACCCAGTACATATGTGAAATATTAAATTTCCCTAACCTCTTAGGCCTTAGCACAATGCATTTACCTAACGATGCATTTTGCTTTCTTGACATGTTTGTAAAATGATCATGTATGTGTCTATGTGTATACACAGACACACACACACATACACATGCGCGCCTGAGTACAAAGTAGTAGAAAGCATGATGGATGAGCCGGCCCACGGCTGATTTACTGCTTCAGTCAAATGGAGGAGGTGAGAGGAGAGGCCGGACCATCTACCTGTTACACTTGACTACACAGTAATTCTACTCTATAGTAAATGAAATTATGCTATCAATTGGGTGGATAAGGGGGTATAAGATTTAGGGTAGATGATATATAGTTTGACTTCAGGATACACACTAGATAGGAGGCAAATTGATATTGGAGAATTAATTTTAAACACGGATCACAACTTATCACAAAATGTGGTAATGAATGTCACCTTGTGGAAGTTTTGATTAATCTGATGTCATCACTGCCAAAACAGAACTTACGGAGACACTATTATTTAATGAGGACCGTTTTTATCCTCTGCCTTTGTTTTAGAACCAAGTCTGGTGATTTATATGAAGAGTATTGTTTAAGTCTTCCCAGAAAAAACTATCATAAAGTAAGTAGGATTGTATGTATGCTTGCCTGTCCAGTTCTACAGTTTTCAAGACAATTTTATAAACTTGTGATCAAGGGTGACAAGTGTGTAGAACCCCACTTTATTTCCCCCCCATGACGATCTTGAAGGACAGTGATCTTTTAACTCATGTTTAATAGGGAAATGTTTGATTATTAATATTTTCACTATGTAGACTTTAGGATATCATTTATTTCAACTTTTTTTTTTTTTTTTGCTACAGATGAGGAAATAAATACAGTACCTTACATTCAGGTAACTTGACAAGACAGAACATGATAGTGGTTTTGCCTAGACACTGATGGAAGTGAGAGGTGTCCAGCTGGGGCCCAAGATACTCAAAGCCCTCAAAGTCTTCAGTTTCTGAGTTAAAGTTTTATTTGGACCCTTTACTCTCAAACTTGGAGGACCCAAGGGGAATTCATGCTGCTACCTGGTTTAGCTATCTTATATTTGCTGGTAATTGAACCTTTACAGGTTACTTTACATTGTTCATGACTTTAAAATTTTTATGCTAATTTCTTCAAGGGTTTATCACATAAAATTTTACTCTATTTTTTTAATTTGGCTGCACCACTTAACTTATGAGATCTTAGTTCCCCAGCCAGGGATTGAACCCTGGCTGTGAAAGGGCAGAGTTCTAACCACTGGAGCACCAGTCCATATTTCTCTTTATTAAGAAGAAAACCTGTCGATCTCAACAGTCACTGGAAGTATACTGTTGTCTTGACTAGTTCTGGTAAATGGTGAAAATCCACAGGACAACACGTATAGCAACATCAGACGGGGTCCCTCCTGTTGTGCTCCTTAAGTTTTCATGATGGCAAGATTTTCAGGACTTCCTGCTTTTTAAAACCTAATTCCTGCTCACAATCCAGTTTTCCTGATTGTCTCCAGTAAAGTGCAAATATAGTTAAATGTTAACAGTGTTAGGATACTGGTTGTGGATGACATTTAAACAGCTTATAAAAGTCACTTTCTTTAGTTCCTCCTAAGCAAAATTTCTTTTATAACTTCAAGTCAATCAAGATGTGTATCATAACCTGAGTTTCACCTACTACTAACTGCTTGACCGTAGATATATAAGCGTAAATCTCATCATCTGTAAAGCAAGGTAATGAAATGACTAATTCGAAAGGTTTGTAAAAATACACACCACGGGCCTTCTCTGCTGGACTATGGTAAAGAATCCACCTGCCAACCCAGGGGGACACGGGTTTGATCCCTGATCCTGGAGTATCCCATGGAGCAGCGAAGCCCGTGCACCACGGCTGCTGAGCCCACAGCCCTAGAGCCTGTGCCCTGGGACGAGATAAACCACTGTAAGGAGAAGCCTGCTCACTGCAACTAGTGAGAAGCCCCCTCTTGTTTAACTAGAGAAAGCCCGGGGGCAGCAATGAAGACCCAACACAGCCGAGAAAGAGAAACGACCATGGAAAGTACACAGCACATTTCACTTTCCAGGACTGTTGTGCAAAAGGGAAGGGAAAGTATCACGGATGTAGTGAATGAAAGGAAAAAAGGCAGGGTGGCTCTGTTTTGCTGTGGGGAATTCAGGACCAATACACAGGCATAGGAGGAGTGTCCTCTGCCTAACAGATAAGCTGGCTTATGCCATGCTGTCCAGCTTGAAATAGCTCAGTCTGACCAATGTAGCCACAGTGGTTGGCTTTAAAATAGCACCTAGGTTACAGAGGGTCACTGAAGGCCGTGACAACAGATGTTTGAATGGAAAGATCCCTAATTTGAAGTTACCTGTCACCTTCGTGAAGAAGAGACATGCAGTTCAGAAGCTGGGCACCCTGACGTACACTTTATGCCAACGTGCATTCTGAATGGATGGCAGAAAATCCCACAGGGATGAAAGATTACACTCTTCCCTTGCCTTTCACCTTTATTTAAAATCAAAAGAGCGACTTCCTTGGTGGTCCAGTGGCTAAGATGCCACAGTTCAATTGCAACAAGACAGAGGCTCAATCCCTGATCCGGGAAGATCCCACGTGCTGAGGAGCAGCTAAGCCCGCAGGCCACGTCTGCAACTTCTGAAGCCCGCTCACCTCAAGCCAGTGCTCGAGGGAGCCACCACAGTGAGGAGCCCACATGCAGCTAGAGAGCGTATCCCAGCAGGCAAGAGTGCGCAACGAGACCCAGTGAAGGGAGGGGAGAGAATGGGACTAGTCAAGTAGGGCACGGGAGTGACGCATCACAATGAAATTTCAGACTAGATCCATGTGCGCCACGGAGAAACCTATGGTGAGATTCACCCTCTACCTCCAGTGGGGTTCAAAACTTCACCGGAATTTTACAGCTTCCAGTTCCATCCAGGAGAATGGCATTTGCTTGGACCAAGAAGTAAGTTTTAAAGATGAATGGAGCTTCAAACCCTAAGGACCCATGTCAGTGATGTGATCACTCACCCAGACATTGGCCCTGGCCTCCAGCATTAGAAATGATGGGAAATGCTGTAAGCGGTCCATGATGTCTCCCAAGGTGCAGGCAATGGAACAGACTTGGGAAGAATCATGTAATCAAAAACCTAGTCCAAGTTTCTTAACTTACAAATGAGAAGGAAAAGATAATCTCACAGAAATGAGCTAAATATAGGACTACACACTCCACAGGATCAAACACCAAGTGGCCAAATAAGTTTGTGGCAAAATGGTTTATTTCAGATGTCAGAGAATGCAAATTGAGGTAGTAAAGACTTTTACTTTGCAATCAAAGTGGGCAAGAATGTAAGCTCATCCACAGTTGGTATGAGAGCGTTTTGGGAGAAGTGGTTTGGTAACAAAAAAATTCTTTAATTGGTCTGTCTTTTGACCCAGACATTCCCCCTTCCAGAAATTTATCCTTCCCTGGTGGCCCAAATGGTAAAGCATCTGCTTGCAATGCCGGAGACCCGGGTTCGATCCCTGGGTTGCCAAGATCCCTGGAGAAGGGAATGGCAGCCCACTCCTGGAAAATCCCATGGACGGGGGAACCTGGTAGGCTATAGTCCTTGGGGTCGCAAAGAGTTGGACACAACTGATCGACTTCACTTTCACTTCTTTTCAGCACTGGTAAGAATGCTAGACAATATATGGACCAAGAACCCTCAGTGCAGCACTGTTAGGCAACAGCTGAATAACTGGGCCAGGAGCGGCTTCTGGGGGCTCAAATGATAAAGAATCTGCCTGCAATGCAGGGGACCTGGGTCCAATCCCTGGGTCAGGAAGATTCCCTGGAGTAGGGAATGGCTACCCACTCCAGCATTGTTGCCTGGAGAATTCCATGGACAGAGGAGCCTGGCGGGTTACTGTCCATGGGATCACAAAGAATCACGACTGAGTGATGAACACACAGGGGTGGCTTGCATGCACAAAGGGATAACATTTAGGTAAATGATTTATCTTTACTTGCACAATATTTTACAGCCAAAATGATTAACATAGAAGACATAGAGTGGGGAAAAGTCTGAATGTAGTTCATCCAAATTTGTGTTTAAAGACAAGTGCCCAAAGGTCCTGGAAGGAGATGCATCAGACTTGATGGTGGTTTACTCTGGGGAGGAAGGGATAAAGTCGACTTGCTCTTAGGCTTTTTTTGCTCTATGTGCTTCTGTGTCATCTGACTATTTGTAAGTCAGTTTGAAAACAATCTTTTAAAAACTTCCAAAATGGGGCTTCCCTAGGGGTTCGAACAATGGTAAAGAATCTGCTGCCCAATGCTGGGGACACGGATTCGATCCCTGGTCTGGGAAGATCCCACATGCGGGAAAGAACTTAAGCCTGTGCACCACAACTACTGAGCCCGTGCTCTGCAACAAGAAGCCACTGCAGTGAGAAGCCTGCGTAACACAGCTAGAGAGTAGGCGCTGGTTGCCGCAACTACAGAAAAGCCCTCACAGAGCAACGAAAACCCAGCACAGCCAAAAATAAATTAAAAATTTTTAAAATTCCAAAATGATACTTATGTAGGCTTCGGAGAGCTGCAAAACCACTCTACCAGTCACTTATTCCCTTGAGATGCTTGTAAGTCCTCAGTTGTGACCTTGTGTACCA